CAGGATGTCAGGGGCTGAAGATCACATCTGGCTGCATTTCATCCAAACGTGGTTTATTTTAAGTGTACATTCTACACCCCTTCGTTGGGAAACTTCAGTATCACGTAAGCTTCCTGAGAAAATCCCTGTCTCATTTTGAATTAAAAAATGAGTCAGTGTGAGAATGATCTTAATTAAATCAATGGATTCCTGTAAAGGAAACAAAACAAATAAGCTATTAAGATTGAGCATTGCTCTCACTTTCCCTAGAATAAGACTGATTTGGATGTTCTCTGCTTGTCTGTACTTTGGAGGAGCGTTGTTCTGTATGTGGACCCCGTGTAATCACAAGAAGATGCCTATGTCATTGTGGCTGTCTCAGTGCCGAATTAAATCAAGAGGTGTGTGTTTGGGTGAGATAACACTGTGCCTGGTTGACATCAGGAAGCCTTCCTGTAATCAAGGGTGACTTCACAGAATCCTGTGTCCAAACCTCAAAATGTGTTAATGCAATTAAGGATTTCCTTATGCTGAAGATTTCTGCCTTTGGTACTTATAATTCCAGGTGGGGGGGAGGTTGGTGTTGGTTGGTTTGTTTTCATTCTTTGCAAACACATTGTAATTGTAAGAAAAATCCCAATAGATGCAAGAAGGAGCATGTGTTTGCAGATTAAAGAAAAAGACGGAGAACAAAGCCAGCTGCTCAACCAGAGGGCAAATCCAAAACGGGGGCTACTTGGCAACGATAACACCTTTGGAAGGGCAGCGGAGAAGGTCTGTGAGACTGCTATAGCTGGGGAAACCAGCTGTAGTTGCTGTGCTCCTTCCCATCTCATCACCATTCTGCCTTACTGCAGGAGCTACCCACAGCAAGGGACCAACGCTGCCAGCGTGCTTACTGAGGGAGAAAGGTAAAAATAACCGCTGCTTTTTCCCAAGTTTATTTTTAACCTGGAATGCTTGAGTGATCTGGTTTACTTGACAGACAGGTCAGGCCAACTGAGGGTATCGACAGCTTTGGGCTTTCCTGTCAAAGCCAGCACGTGATGGAATCGCACCTTTTAGATGCTTCGTTTCTATCTTCTTTTTTTTTTTAATGAAATATGAACACTAAGTGCATGAATGTGAGTTGTCAGCCTGGCTGTTGCTGGTGTTGGGGGCACATGGATTAAAGCCAGCCGGCTGTGATTCTGCTCAGTGCAGAGGAAGGATAGGTGCCTTGGGCTACGGTGCTCGCTGATGGTGTTCAGTGAGATGGTGTTTCAGTGCATTGCCTGGTTTGAGAAGCAATCTGTTTGTAGGGAGAGAAAAGCCCTTCTGAGTGTAATAACAGTCGAGGTCTTCCCGTGGATCTCAGATCCATGGCAAGGATATAGAGCAGATGGCACG